CCATTAAAATTTGGGACTTATCTCTTGGTAACTCTGGCAGTATTCTAATAAATGAGCTTGCTCGCATTCAAGGGTGAAATGTTTATAGGCCCACCTGTCCACACATCAGAAGCTGTATTCTCCAATCAGTTTTCTCAGGGATAGCAGTGATCATTTGTCCTCAATTTATTCTTTCAATTGTCTTTCAATTTATTCTGAATTTGGATGAGGGCAGAGCTTGCTGCTTATTGAGACTCCTAAGAAATTTGGGAGCCTGGGTGCCTTGTATCAGGCTCCCTGCTCAGCGGGGAGCCAGCTTCTCCCTCTGCCACTCCCCCTGCTTGTGCTGTCTGTCAAATAAATTAAATCTTTTCCAAAATAAACAAAGACTCCTAAGAAACCGACAACAGTTAAGGTCTGAATAATACCAGTCATGCTATTGATGACAAGGGAAAAATAGGTTCCAAGACCTGTCAAAGGACATTGATGTGATCACACAATTGTTTTCCAGACAAAAGAACAAACTGAACTATTTTTTTAAAGATTTTTTTAAAAAAGATTTATTTATTTGAGAGAGAGTGAGCGAGAGGGAAAGCACGAGAAGGGGCAAAGGGAGAGGGGAAGCAGACTCCTCACTGAGGAGGAGCCTGACATGAGGTCAATCCCAGGATCATGACCTGAGCTGAAGGCAGATGCTTAACCAAGTGAGCTACTAGGCACCCCAATATTTTATTTTATTTTTTAACAAATCTCTACATCCAGGGGCGCCTGGGTGGCTCAGTTGGTGAAACCTTTGCCTTTGGCTCAGGTCATGATCCTGGGGTGCTGGAATGGAGCCCCACATTGGTGGGCTCCCTACTCAGTGGGGAGCCTGCTTGTCCCTTTCCTTCTGCCCCTCCCCCACTTGTGTGCATTCTCTTAAATAAATAAATAAAATCTTAAAAAAAAAAACAAAACAAGAAATCTCTAGATCCAATATGGGGCTCGAGCCCACAACCCTGAGATCAGGAGTCACATGCCCCACTGACTGAGCCAGCCATGCGCCCTGAAACTGAACCAGTTTTTAATGTCAAGAGTTACAGAGCCTGGAGAAAAATTTAATATCTTATAAGCAATAAGCAACAGCCCTAGACACCCATCGATCCCTTTCGATATGGATCCCTTTCCATATGACAGCATGGAGCGTCAAGCTCAGCCCTCCTCACTTCCAAATAACACCCTCACCGAGGTGACATTCTCCTGTCAGAGCAAAGGCTAACATTCTTCACATTCTTAACAGAGCATTCTTGGCCACTGGGGCTTCTGATTTGAAAGCCTTGCCCTAAACTTGTTTCAATCTATCTTTGATTCAGAAATGTTCCGATGATTTCCACAGCAGCTGCGTTAATTAATGATGGTGATCAGACTTAATGAAAGAGAGAATTAGTAAAACCATTCTCTGGCCACTTTCATAAAAGGAAAGAATGTTAACAGGCATTAATGGCTTGACATGGAGATCTCACCTCCTTGGGGCTTTCAACCTACAGTCACACCCCCTGAAACAGCATCCTGAGACTGCAACTGCATATTTCATCTTCCTGGTGTGAGAAGGCCCACATATGCTCAGAGTTCTCGACTGAATTCTTCCTACAATATGGAGCCTTCAAGCTGCATGAGCTTGGGCCAAGACACCATGGACTGGTAAAAAATCAACCACTTTGCCCATAGACTTCATAGTAACACGATCACATAATGTGTATTGTTCTGTTTCGTTATTTTTTCATGCTGTTTTGCCATGTTCTTTTTTTTTTTTTTTTAGATTTTATTTATTTATTTGAGAGAGAGAGAGAGCATAAATGGGTGGGAAGAGAAAGGGGCAGAGGGAGAAGCAGACTCCCTGCTGAGCAGGGAGCCTGATGAGGGGCTTGATCCCAGGATCCTGAGACCATGACCTGAGCTGAAACAGACACTTAACCAATTGAGCCCACCCAGGCATGTTCTATAGTGTATTTTATTTGTTTGTTATCTATCTTGTAAGAATGAAAACTCCCTGAGGACAGGGATCTGGTATTGTTCCCTTATGTATCCTCAGTATCTACATGGGTATACAGTAGGTATTCATAATATGTTTTTGGAATGAGTAAGTGAGGGGATCCCTGGGTGGCTCAGCAGTTGAGCGCCTGCCTTCAGCCCAGGGCATGATCCTGGAGTCCTGGGATCGAGTCCCACATCGGGCTCACTTCATGGAGCCTGCTTCTCCCTCTGCCTGTGTCTCTGCTTCTCTCTATATATCTCTTATGAATAAATAAATAAAATCTTTAAAAAAAACCCCTTGGAATGAGTGAGTGATCTGTTTAATATCCAAAAATCAAAGCATTTAAAGAAAAAAATTCTGAATTCAAAAGTGGATTATTACAGGGAAAAATGGGAGACAGCTTAAATATGCATGAATAGGAGAATGACTATATAAATTACGGTATATCCATGTTATGGATTATGGGATCATTTAAAATATGTTAGGTTAATTTAACAGGAAATCTAATGCTGACTGGCTGAGGGGAGCACTGGAGGCAATTGTTCATAATCTTTTTTTTTTTTTTTAAGATTGTATTTATTTATTCATGACAGACACAGAGAGAGAGACAGAGACACAGGCAGAGGGAGAAGCAGGCTCCATTCAGGGAGCCTGACCTGGGACTCGATCCCGGGTCTCCAGGATTACACACTGGACTGAAGGCGGCGCTAAACTGCTGGGCCACTGGAACTGCCCAACTGTTCATAATCTTGCAAAATCCATGGCAACATGGGCCTCTGGTTGGGTTTGGTTCAGGGCCTGATGGTTTCATCATGGATGAGGTTTCTTTTTTCTTTTTTTTTCTTTTAAAGATTTATTTATTTATTTATTTATTCATGACAGAGAGAGAGAGAGAGGGGCAGAGACACAGGAGGGAGAAGCAGGCTCCATGCCGGGAGCCCGACACGGGACTCAATCCCTGGACTTCAGGATCGCTCCCTGGGCCAAAGGCAGGTGCCAAACCGCTGAGCCACCCAGGGATCCCCACGGATGAGGTTTCTTTCAGTTTGTCTGGTCTGTCTCCTATGGCAGCAGTTAAGAAACAAAAGGTGGCTTCCAATTCCATGATCACAAGGTGGCTGTCAAAGCTCCAGTAGTTATGATTCTTTACTTATATTCAAAGAGGAAAAGAGAGTTCCTCTTCCAGATGTCCCAGAAAATCTAGCCTCTCACTAGCCTAAACTGAGCCATGTACCCATCTTTGACCTGAGTAAGAATTCTAGCCAGATTGGCTCATATGGATTAATCTGGGTCTATGCTACATGCCCATTTCTAGAGCCGGGGGCACACAGCTTTCCATAAGATACACAGGTTGTGCAGGGGAAGTGTGGTGACCAGAATGACAATTCAAGCATTTTCCAAAGAAAACGGAACAAAGATATGATCTATTTTTTATGGTTAAATGATTAGATTTACATAAAAAAAAACACACACACACACACGCTATTTTCTATGGTTGCATATATATCTATGTAAATACATACAAAGAATTCTGGAAAGATCTACTGCAAACAGTAGTGGTTACTTCTGGGGAGGGTACCAGACTGGGGATTATAGTTAAGGGCTATTATTTTTATCATTATTTTTTCTTATAAGGGCTATTTTAAAATTACCTAGAAAAATGATCCTCAACCACAGGCAATTCTGTCCTCTACCATTAGGCAATGTCTCCAGATATTTTTGGTTGTCATGAGGGGGGTGGGGGTGAGGGAAAGTGCTACTGGCATCTAGTGGGGAGAGGCCAGGGATCCTGCTTCACATACAAAGCACAGAGCAGCATTCACAACCAAGAGTTATCTAGCCTAAAATGCCAATAGTGCCAAGGGCATCGAGAAACCCTGATCTAGAATGTTATAATTTTTATAAGGAGATGGAATTCAGGTTTTACCTGGATAGTTACAAGCTGATTTTTTTTTTAAGATTTTATTTATTTATTTGACAGAGAGAGAGAGTGCACAAGCAAGGGGAGCAGAGGGAGAAGGGGAAGGAGAAGCAGATTCCCCGCTGAGCAGAGAGCCCGATGTGGGGCTCGATCCCAGGACCCTGAGACCATGACCTGAGCCAAAGGCAGATGCTTAACTGACTGAGCCACTCAGGCACCACAAGTTGATTTTTTTTAAAAAAAGCTCTTGTGGGGGATCCCTGGGTGGTGCAGTGGTTTGGCGCCTGCCTTTGGCCCAGGGCGCGATCCTGGAGACCCGGGATCGAGTCCCACGTCGGGCTCCCGGTGCATGGAGCCTGCTTCTCCTTCTGCCTGTGTCTCTGCCTCTCTCTCTCTGTGTGTGACTATCATAAATAAATTTAAAAAAAAAATAAAAAATAAAAAAAAGCTCTTGTGGATGCTGTAATATGCCATCCACATACCCTTTCAGGACCAGTCACGTATTCCCCCAGCTGCTGGGAGTTTGGGCTGCTGATGACTCATAGTTCTAGTGAATTCTTCAGAAATTGCCCTTAGCTAAAGGAAGCTGCTTTAAGATTATGAGTCCTCTTCAAGGGCAGCCTTTATCCTTGAGAAACCTCAGCACTTTTGACACTGTGGGACAATACTTCTTTGTCACGGGGGCCGTCCTGTGCACTGTGGGATGTTTAGCAGCATCTCTGGCCTCTTTCCACTAAACACCCAGTAGCACCCCCCTCCTCCAGCAGCAACAACCAAAACGCCTCCAGACATTGCCACGTGTTCTCTGGGAGCAAAACTGGCCCCGTTCCCTGCGTCAGGAACCACTGCTGGATCCAATGCCGGGTTGAGGCAGGGATACAAAGGCCCGGCCTCCAGCCTCACTTCAGAACATATCTGAGGGCCATCCCAGCTTTATGACCCCACAGGGGGTTGGCTGAGGCTTTCACTGCAATCGCCTCTTAATAAGATTTCTCCCTCTGCAACCCCCCTCCTCCCCTCACCCCTTCATAGGTATTTGCAAGAGCTCTTCCCAGTAAACAGTCTACCTCCAAATCTCCCTTTCAGAATCCATTCCCTGTGGCTGGATGGGTCCAGGACTGAGATCAAGGCAGCAGAGGGCTTCAGTGGCTTCTAGAAGGAACCACCACAGGTAAGAAGTGGAACTAAGTTGGCAACCTGACACCTTATTCCAGAAATGGTGCTACTAAGCACTAAACTTCACTACCTTCCTCTTAACGGTTGGGCTCTGCTGCCACCACAGGAAGCCCGACTTTCCCATCCCTGCTCCTACCCCATGTGTGTTTCTATAATTGAAGGAGCAGAAGAAAAATGCAGAGAATGTGAAACCTGATGGCATTAAGTCAATTCCCTTTACTTTATTGCTCCTAAGCTACATACCTTATAGACACGCTCGTCTGCAAGCTTTCAACTAGTTGACAGGCAGCAAGTCCAAACATGTAGACATTTCAACTACAAGTAATTAACACAACTGCTTAAAGGCCTTCTATTCAGAAAACGTTTTTCTTTGGATAAAAATATGGATGTGAGATAAAAGGCCTGTAGAGACATCATGGCTGGGACAAGGTCATTCCTCAGTGGGAGGGTCCATTTCCAACAATATGGGACCGGGAAGTTAGAAGGCCATGGTCTGGCGTGAGAGCTCTCACTATAGCGAAAATTAATTTGTAAATCACTATATAATCTGTACTAACAATAAGCATTAATTGAGCCATTGTTATATGCCAGGCACAACATGTTTTATATATAAGTATTTCTTTTCCTTTTTATAAAAAGATTTTATTTATTTATTCATGAGAGACACAGAGAGAGAGGCAGAGACACAGGCAGAGGGAGAAGCAGGCTCTCTGCGGGGAGCCCGATGCAGGACTTGATCCCAGGACCCCGGGATTATACCCTGAGCCAAAGGTAGACACTCAACTGCTGAGCCACCCAGGTTCCCTCTTTTTTTTGTTTGTTTTTTTTTTGTTTTTAAAGACTTTATTTATTAGAGAGAGAGAGAGAGAGAGAGAGAGAGAGAATGAGAGCATGAGTTGGGGGAGGGGCAAAGGGAAAGGGAGAAGCAGACTCCTGGCTCAGCCGGGAGCCCGATGCAGGGCTTGGTCCAGGACCCCGGGTTCATGACCCGACCGAAGTCAGACACTTAACCAACTGAGCCACCCAGGCACCCCTATTCATGCACCCCTATTCATATCTCTGGATTATATTTTCATATATTATTAAATATATACTGTTTTATACTAGTGTTTTGCATATTATATAATACTTATATAATTACAATGACATATAAGTATTACATGTGATATGTCTATTATATATCATGTGTCTTTGAGATAGTATTATTGTCTTGTCCACTGACTGATAGGAGTCTGACATATAGGGAAGTATAGTAACTTGCTCAAAGTCCCACAATTAGTAATGGGCCTCTGCCCACTCCAGCCTGCATGACTGCTCTTCATTTTCAAAAGCACTGGTTCCAACTCAGAGCAACTCAGAGAATTCAGTTGAATTCACTTATTAGGAAGAGAAAAAAGAATCTGTCTTCTTCCCTTCCTCCTAGCATATAGTAGGTCCTCAAAAAATAATAAAAGTGAAAACATTGGGTGTTCCTTGTCTTAAACTGATCTGTTTAAGCTAGTCAACCAGGTTCAGTTAAATAACCTGTATAAATGCTGAAAATGTATTGCTGTTCATTGAAACTTTTTCTTTTTAAAAAGCTTTTATTTATTCATTTGAGAGAGTGAGAGGACACAGGCAGAGAGAGAGAGAGGGAGAAACAGACTTCCTGCTGAGCAGGGAGCCTAACGTGGAGCTCCGTCCCAGGACCCCAGGATCATGACCTGAGCCAGAGGTAGATGTTTAACCATCTGAGCCACCCAGGTGCCCTGAACCTTTTTCTTTTCTTTTTTTAAAGATATTTATCTATCTATCTATCTATTTATAAAAGATTTTATTTATTTATTCATGAGAGACACACACACACAGAAAGAGGCAGAGACACAGGCAGAGGGAGAAGCAGGCTCCATGCAGAGAGCCTGATGCGGGCCTCGATCCTGGGTCTCCAGGATCAGGCCCTGGGCTGAAGGCTGTGCTAAACCGCTGAGCCGCCCAGTCTGCCCGAACCTTTTTCTTTTTAAAATTTATTTATTTATATGAGAGAGAGAGAGAGAGAACAAACAGGAGGGGCAGAGGGAGAGAGAATCTCAAGCAGACTCTGGGTTCAGTGCAGAGCTTAATGCAGGATCCTGAGATCACATCGTCGAGAGCAGAAACTAAGAGTCAGATGCTCAACCGACTGTGCCCCCCAGGCACCTTATTGTTCATTGTCTCTTAAAAGGAAAACATAATTAGGGATTAGTGATATATTTTCAAGCATTGAACCTGGCAACTTTCTTGTAACACATAAGTATATTATTCAACTACTGATCTTTCAACTGTCCCACTTTTTTTTCCAGTCATGCATTGTATGCAAAAAGCATTACTCAGTGTTTAACACAATCTGCACAGCACGGGTGGAAGGAGTATGTAAGAACTGGAACTGACTTTGTCACTCCTCTCTGTGCTCAGAAACTCTGACTTGGGTTTTGTATTGGTTTGTTTTTGCTTTACCACTGACGGGCAGGATCTGATAGGTTGAGATAACTTCCTGTAGAATAATTCACAGAAAAGTTATTTATGGCCTCTTAATCTTCCTGATCTGAAGTAGCAGCTTAGGGTAAAGGAAGAGTGTGTGGAGGAAGTGCAGCATAGAAAAAAAAAAGGGGGGGGGGGAGAAAGAAAAAAGAAGGGCAGCTCAGGTGGCTCAGCGGTTTAGTGCTGCCTTCGGCCCAGGGCCTGATCCTGGAGACCTGGGATGGAGTCCCATGTCGGGCTCCTTGCATGGAGCCTGCTTCTCCCTCTGCCTGTGTCTCTGCCTCTCTCTTTCTCTGTGTCTCTCATGAATACATAAATAAAATCTTAAAAAAAAAAAAAAAGAAAGAAATAAAAGCCCAGGGTGATGGCCAGCCTCGATGTCCTTTATAGGAAGAAAGTGTTCAAAATCACAGGCTGAGTAGTATATCGTATTTAATGTCACATATTTCAAAATCTAACAGAGGAAGTTAAAAAAATAAAACACTTAGTTCTGAGATTGAAAACTTCCTCTCTGCCTTTTCGGTTTATTCAAGAAGTTTAGCAAAGTGGCCTAGAGTCCAACTGCCTAGGTCCAAATCCTACTTCTATCGCTTCCTAGTTTACTTGGAAAGAGTTCCCTGAATTAATACAGGTAAAGGGAGAGGCCTGGGTGACTCAGCGGTTGAGGTCTGCCTGCAGCTCAGGGCATGATCCTGGGGTCCTGGGATGAGTCCTGCATCAGGCTCCCTGCATGGAACCTGCTTCTCCTTCTGCCTGTGTCTCTGCCTCTCTCTCTCTCTGTCTCTCATGAATAAATAAATAAAATCTTTAAAACAAAACAAAACAAACCCCAAAAGTCCTATTGGATGAGGGTGGGCCCTAAATACAGTACGACTGGTGTGTTTGTAAGAATAGAGAAATTTGGACAGAGAGGCCCGGATGCACAGCGGAGACAGCCACGTGAAGACAGAGACAGAGTTTGGAGGGATGCATCTATAAGCCAAGGAACAATAAGGATTGCCAGAACCAACCAGAAGCTCCCCAGGAAGGATTCATCCTCGGAGAATTTGAAGGGAGCACGGCCCTGCTGACACTGTGATTTCCGTCTTCTGGCTTCCAAACTGTGAGAGAATAAATTTCTGTTGTTTAAAACCATCGAGTTTGTGGTAATTTGTCATTGCAGCCCTAGAAAACTCACACTCATAATGAGAGAAATGAAAATTAAAATTATACTGACATGCCATTTTTAACCTGCCACTTTAATAAAGATCAACAGTGTGATTGAGATGGGTGGGGGACTTTTTTTTCTTTTGTACTTTTTGAATTCTGGAAACTAAATTAAAATTAAAATTTAAAAGAGTGAATAGGGCAGCCCAGGTGGCTCAGCGTTTTAGCACGCCTGCAGCCCAGGGCCTGATCCTGGAGACCCGGGATTGAGTCCCAAGTCGGGCTCCCTGCATGGAGCCTGCTTCTCCCTCTGCCTGTGTCTCTGCCTCTCTCTCTGTGGGTCTCTCATGAATAAATAAATAAATGAAATCTTAAAAAAAAAAAAAGTGAATATATTGGGGTATCTGGGTGGCACAGTTTGTAGAGCATATGACTCCTGATCTGAGGGTTGTGAGTTCAAGCCCCACGTTGGACACAGAGCTTACTGAAAGAAAGAAAGAAAAAAAGAAAGAAAGAAAGAAAGAAAGAAAGAAAGAAAGAAAGAAAGAAGAATAAAAAAATAAAAAGTCGAGGCACCTGGGTGGCTCATTCCTTTAAGTACCTGACTCTTGATTTTGGCTCTGATCTTGGTCTCAGGGTCATGAGTTCAAGTTCCAAGTTGAGTTCCACACCCAGCATGGAGCCTACTTTAAAAAAATAATAAAAAAGAAAGAAAGAAAGAAGCTAGGAAGTAAGTGGACAAATTCCTTTCACTAACCCATATTCTTTGCACAGCTGGTAAGCTAAGGTTGTGTTTTGTTTTGTTAAAGATTTTAATTATTTATTCATGAGAGACACATTTATTCATTAGAGACACTAAGAGAGAGGCAGAGACCTAGGCGAGGGAGAAGCAGGCTCCTCGCAGGGAGCCTGATGTGGGACTCGACCCCAGAGCAGGATCATGCCCTGAGCAGCAGGCAGATGCCCAATCGCTGAGCCACCCAGGCATCCCCAAGGATGTGTTTTTATTTTTAAATGGTTGGGGAAAAAAATCAAAAGAATAATTTTGTTGATGCATGAAAATTATATACAATTCAAATTTCAGTGTCCACCAATAAAGTGAGTTGAAAATCTGCCACACTCATTCATTTGTGTTTTGGGCCTACCAGGGCAGAGCTAAGACAATGAGGAAGAGGAACCACAAACCCTAAAATATTTATCTGACCCTTTATATAAACAGTTTTTAGATCCCTGTTCTAGATTATTATTATTATTTTTGAAAGATTTACTTAAAAAGAGGGGGAGAGAGAACATGAGCAGGGGGAGGGGCAGAAAGAGAGAGAGAGAAGCAGACTCTCCATTGAGCAGGGAACCCAACTTGGGGCTCAATCTTAGGATAATGGACCCTAGGATAATGACCTGAGCCGAAGCAGACCAACTGAGCCTCCCAAGAGCCTCCTTGTTCTAGATTAAAGAACAAAATAATCATTTGCATGCTTGCTTGTAGAGATAGAAGTGTATATTTTAATATGGAATGGCCATCCCACAAGGACTTTTTTTTTTTTTAAGTAAACCCTACACCCAACATGGGGCTTGAACTCATGACCTGGAGATCAAGAGTTACATGCTCTACTGACTGAGCCAGCCAGATGCTTCCCCTCTCCCCATGAGAACTTTTTTTTTTTTTTTTTAGGACTTTTAAAATGAAAAAGCTCATGAAAAACTCAAAAGTAAACTGGGAATTCTTCTTGCTTTTTCTTAAAGAACATTAGAAAAGCCAAGCCTTCTGTAAACTTAAATAAGACCTTTGCCCTACCTGTCTGGGTCTCTCTGCTCTCTAAGCCAGTGAGGCCATTGGAATGAGAACAGATCCCAACCCCCCTTTCCTTATCTTATTAAAAATTCAAAGTATCTGATGTTAACACAAAACCAAAATGACCTAGAACTACCTTTAACTTTTACTGAAACTAAACCAAGGCTTTATGTTTTTGTTGTCTTGATGGTGGGAAGAGCACTTTATCGCCAATAAAACAAGTATAAAAGAATACATGATCCCTTGAAAGTTCAGTTCTTGGTTTATGAGAGAAAACAGACCTGTGTAAAAAGTCATAAAATGATAGTCAATAGCTGTATTTTTCAAACTTTTGGACAATGATCCACAGTAAACTATAAATTTTATTCTGTGACCTGCATACATGTGTTTACACACATACTAAAATAAAAGCATTGGTTTTAACATATGTCATTTAGTGCATCCTGGTACTTTCTATGTTGTTCCATCATTTTCTTTATTTTTTTTTAAGATTTTATTTATTTATTCACAAGAGACAGAGACAGAGGCAGAGACACAGGCAGAGGGAGAAGCAGGCTCCCTGTGGGGAGCCTGATGTGGACTCGATCCCAGGATCCAGGGATCAGGACCTGAGCTGAAGGCAGACCCTCAACCACTGAGCCACCCAGGTGCCCCATCATTTTCATTAAAAAATTTTTTTTAGTTTTTTTTTAATTTTAATTTTAATTTTTTTAAATTTTTTTTTTAATTTAAAGATTTTATTTGGGGATCCCTGGGTGGCTCAGTGGTTTAGTAGCTGCCTTCCGGCCAGGGCATGATCCTGGAATCCCGGGATTGAGTCCTGCATCAGGCTTCCTTGCATGGAGCCTGTTTCTCCCACTGCCTGTGTCTCTGCCTCTCTCTCTCTCTCTGTGTCCATCATGAATAAATAAATAAAATCTTAAAAAAAAAAAGATTTTATTTAAGTAATTTCTACATCCAACATGGGGCTCAAACTCACAACCCTGAGAGTGGGGAATCGCACGCTTCACTGACTGAGCCAGCCCGGTGCTCCACCCCCACCCCCGCATTATATTTCTTTCCATTTTGGTCTAGTCTAGTCTGCTTATAAATAAAATATTAATCATAACCCAGAAATTGATTTTATAACCTACTAATGGATTGAAACCACAGGTTTGAAAAACACTGGTCTATGTTCTTTAAGATCATGGTCAAGAAGAATGGTCCCAGAAAATTGTTTAAATTAAACATGACACAAGTAAACAGTATGGCTATATAATCATTAAAATAAATATGGTGAAGGTCTATGTACTGATGCAGAAAGTTGTCCCCAAAATATATGTGCAAGTTTTAAAAATGACTTGTAAATAGCACAGCACAAGGCAGGGCCTATGGTTGCAGGTGAAAACAACCCCCCGTTGTCCCACATTTTTTTTTTTTTTTTTTTTTTTTTTTTAGATTTTATTTTTAAGTAATCTCTAAGCCCAACTTGGGGCTTGAACTCACAAGCCCGAGATCAGGAGTCACGTACTCTGTGGACTGAGCCAGCCAGGTGCCCCCCTCACTTTCCCACAGCTTCAGCAAAAAGGAGATAGTTGGCCATGCTTGAGCCACAATTCCCTCTCCTGGAGTTGGTCTATAAGGATTCAAGGTAAGTGAAAGATGCTTTACACAGGAAAGATATGGGTAGTACTATCCAGAGAAGAGGGACACCAGGGCTCCCTAAGGCACAGTGGAGGGGCTCCCAGCTGGCTCAGTCTGTAGGGCACGTGTCTCTTGATCTCAGGGGCGTGAGTTCAAGCCCTATATTGGATGTAGAGTTTGCTTAATAAACAAACTAACTAAATAAATAAATCACAGTAGAAATATGCACAATATGAGCTAACTGATGTTTAAGACGAACCAGGCAAAAATATCCAGAGGGATAAGTAAATACATCGTGATTTGTTTACAGCAGATCTCTGAAGGGCAGGGTTGCCAGGAAAACGTCCATCTTTATTCCCTTCTGTGTCATTTGCACTTTTTACCATGAATGTCTGGCTTTTGGAGCCAAAATATTTTAAAAAGCAATAAAAATATGACCATCTAAAGAAAAGAAGGTGAAATATCCAGAAAAGGCAAATGGACAAAGATAGAAAGTAGATAAGTGGTTGCCTGGGGCTGGGGGTGGGCATGGGGATTAAAGATAAACAGCAGAGAGGTTTTCCTGAAATGGTGAAAAAAATGGCATTTTATTGAAATATTGCTAAAAATCATCGAACTGTGCATTTCAAAGGGTGAATTTTATGATCTGTAAATTATACTGCAATAAAACTGTCTTTAAAAAAAAAAGAGAGGTACTTGGGTGACTCAGGGGTTGTGATCCCAGGGTCCTGGGATCGAGTCCCACATCAAGCTCCCTTCGAGGAGCCTGTTTCTCCCACTGCCTATCTGTCTGCCTCTCTCTTTGTGTACCTCATGAATAAATACATAAAATATTTAAAAAAGGGGGGGGGGATAAAAAAGGAGAGGAATCCAGCAGAAAGAAGAGGATGAAGACTCCGAGTCCAGACTATCCGTCTGCAGGATTAGGGATGCTGACTCCAATCTTCCAACTGCCCCCAAGCCCCATGATTTCTCAAAGATTACTGACAGCATTTTCTTGATCACATCTGCAAATTGTTCCAGTCCTTGGGAATGTAATTCATCAGGTTTTAAAGCTTTTGACAAGGTGACTAAGGTAATGAAGCCCAAGAGTTGAAGGTTTTCCAGGGGCCTTCGTGTGCGAGTCTCCTCTGACGACTTCTCCTTTAGTCTATGTTTACATTTTGTGATTTCTTAAAAGTGAGTTCCTAAGCAACAGAGGGAGCTGGGGTGGCTGTGGTGCCCCGCGAACCAGGACTTGGGGACCGCGCTGCTGGTGCTGTCCTGCCCTCATTTGGCACTCCACAGCAGTAGATGTTCAGACTTTAGTCTACCTAGCAACCTTTCCTCTTTCTGGAAACTATGCTCCAAGTTTCCAGGGGGATTTCCCCTCCTCCTCTTGGCCTCTCTGGTTCCAGTGGGGCTGACCCCCATCCTTGGGCTCTAAGAATAAGCAAGTGACTCAGCTCTGCCTGGACAC